AGAGATTAATATCGGTACATAAAGTTTTGGCCATTTTTCTGGAAAAGAGCGGAAACGATTTATGGATTAAATCTAGGAAATTAAAATTTTATTTATTTAGATAAAGGAGGTAAAGGAATTTCTCAGTGTGTGACCAATTAAAACTGTCAAGTATATTCTTAGAAGTAGTTTAACCTTCTTTTTACAACTTGATGGTGTTGCCAGGGCGACCTTGATGAACTCGCCTCGTCCAAGGTTCACTGCAAAAGTAGCCATCGTAACTTAAAAAACCAAGCCGTGGGCCTAAATCACCATTATACGTTTCACCAGCATCGGTAGTAAGATTTTTTATTTTAAGCAATGAGCTACTTGTAAAAGAGATAGGTAAAATTCAAACCTTGATCAACTTTCAACTGAAAGATTCTGACAGTTCTCGTGTCCTGGTACGTCCAGCTGCTCTCTACCCTCCAATCGCATTTCCTCCCTATCACAACTTTGAACTTTTTTTTACTTTGTAGAAATCTATTATCATGAACAATAAGGAAGAGAATTTCGGACAAGGTGTGTCTACCGAGGCATATCGACAAAGTTGCGTGAACGAGGTCAAATAATTTACATACAGTGAAATCGTACTGCGACAAAAATAAGAGCCACGCCAAATCTGCGTATATATATCCTTATTCATTGAAATCTACTTGAATATTATGCTATAGATATTGTTTCCATATCACAAAGTGGTTGGGTCGAAATATTTTTATTACCAACGAACAGACAATTGCAGCATTTACAAATACAGATGTTGATAAAAACATGATTCATAATTTAATGGCGTCTCCGCCCAAGTATGAAAGAAAAAATACAAAAAATGAACGTAAAAATTTGGAATTGTGGCTTGACCCTCGACATCATTTGATAAGGTGAAGTACTCGGCTTAATGTTCAAACGTCTGTAAGAAAAATATTTGATAGATTAAGACATACTGTTATCACGACAGATACTGGCCTCTCTCCGTTCACGTTGTGCTTTCATAAGCTCCGGATCAGTGTCATCTACGTAAGCCAGACCTTTTTGAAGTAGAATATCACAGAATTCTAGTAGACTATCGAAGTGATCGGAGGTGTGCGAAAGAACGTCCCATCGAACACCAAGCCGAGGAAGATCATCTAATATAGCTTGCTCAAATTCAGTGCATTCTTTAGCTGGATTTGTATCATCAAAACGTAGTATCAGGCGACCCTTGAAAGTGTCCTGGAAAAAAATGAAGAAAATAATAACATGCAAAATTTTATGGGCAAATCAGACAAGGCAAAGAGGTCAAACAAATGGCGTTTAGATTAGCTTACTTTGTAGCATAAAGTGCACGATAGGAAAGAAAATAGATGTATTATATTCGGAGTGATTAGGTTTTCAAAAGTACCAGTATATATCAAATAAAAGCTGTATTCACCCTAGGTCACATAATGATGAAGCACTAATAGTTGAATTTTCCCATAATCATAAATAGATCTCACATTGACAGTGGATTTTACTTAGTCTTCCCTCGCAAAATGGTATTATCAGCCAGAGGTGAGTAATTAATCGATATCGCCTAGCTTAGAGCAGCACGAAAAACGGAAATTAAACTCGGGTAGCGCAGTGTAATTTAGTAGAAAATTTAGGCCTACACATATCATTGTGGAAAAA